CATCGCTTACAAGGGCAAGAGGAGGTCTGAGGGAAGCCACATGGAAGCCCAGCCCTGGCCAAGAGCCCTGCTCTCACACTGAGGAGACAGGGGCTCCACTCCTCCTGCGTCCAGCTCTGCCTCTTGCTTCACAAGGGTGGATATGCTTTTTAACTTCTTACAATGCATCGATCGGCTCCTCTCTTTCCATTCGTAAAAGGCAACAGCTCCCAAGCGTAAGAGTAGCCAGGCTGCCTCTATCTAAGTTAGAAGCGGGGGGAGTGCTGACAAAGCACGTGTAATTATGTGAACACAGGCCTATTTTATCCTTCGGAGTATCTCAAATTTTTAGCTACTTAGCATAAAGCACACAGCTATGAGTAAAACCCTTTTTTTCATTAATGCTTGTTTAGGTTAAAGCCCTAGGATTAGCAGTGCTCTTTATGTATTTTAAGACAGCAGTTTATTAATAAATTACAAATTTAAAGTATTTGGTCTAAATTCAGTTTTGCTCTTTCATTAAGTACCCATCCATGACCAGAGTCAGGATGTAGGTTCAAAGTCAAAACATTCGTACCAAATCTGTCCAAGCGTGGTGGGAGATCTGAATTGTCCCTGCACGAAGTAGAAAAGGGTTACACGGGCACAGAAAATAACAGATGCAGTCTCACATACACACACCTGTATTCATCTGCCTCTATAAAACTTGATCCTCACAGGCTTAGAGCACCACTCATCTAGTGACATTATTAAAGTAAATAAAAGCTAATGACAGAAAGCTCAGATTTTGGAAATAAAAAGACATCTATCAATTCTGGTTTGATATATGCATCTCTCTACACCTATACACGTAAGTACGTAACAGGGTGTTTATGTGTGTGTATACATGTACACAGGCTTACTTTTGTAAGATCCTCCTCTTCAACCAGTTCACCACAGGGAAATCTGCATTTTGAGGGGTCAAGTGCAACGCACCTCGTTTTTGCCCTTATCCTTTCAAGACTTTCCTGCAGGTTTGAGCAGGGCACCTGAAACCGTCAACTTGTTCAAAGCAGCTCAGAACAGATCTGAAGCATGATTTTGTGTTCTTCACAGGCAAGGAGACAGTTAAGGGGGTTGTCTTTCTCTGTGGCATGGCAACGGAAACTCTCAAGCAGTAAAATCCATTACGAACAAAACAAAGAAGTTCCACGGAATGGAATTTGTCTGAACTGAACAACGAAAGATGAGTGCTTATCTTTTTGCAGAACACCCGTATGAAAGATATGGCATTCTTAAAATATCTTGATACTCAGTTATGAGTAGGACTATTCATCCTACACCCTACTTCTGCACACAGGAAGGGAAGAGCTAATAGCAGAAGAATTTTCTTTCGGCGGTGGGAACAACTGCATGATGATTATCCCCCACCCTGTGTGGGATTCCATCGGAGATCAAGGATGCCCTGGCAAGCGCTGGGGCATTACTACATGTTTGTGGAAGTCTCTCAGCTTTTATTAATTAGATTCCTGACAACGCAATAAAACCCTGTAGCAGAAAGCCACACTGTTCATTCCTGAATCATATGAAATCATTCACCATTTTATGTACAAGTTTTGAATTACAATCTTCAACTTCTCATCAGAAAACCAAAAAGCCTAAAAAAGGCATTTTTGGCAGAAACTGCACAGTGTACAGAAGCATACTTCCAATTTCACAATATCTGACAGAACACATATTGTAACAAAAAGCAGATCCTGTTACCTTTTCTGAGAAGGCATTGCCCAGACAAAACTAGATGTTTCACCTCCATTACTGGAGGAACAGCTTTAACTGGACAAAAGACTACATGAAAAAATTCCTGAACACTCCAGATAGTCTAACAGAAAAATAAAAGTACATTTGTAAACAACTTTAAAACAAGAGCCTTATGAAAATAATAAAGGTCACTGAAAGTTAAGCTGTTAAACACTTCTTAGCCTAAACCTCTATATTCTGCCCTTACAGTGTTTGGTTGTTTTTTTGTTTTTTTTTATACACAGATTTTCCCACACAGAACACTTCACTGAGAAATCTGGGCAAATATTTTAAAAATTTTTGGTGGAATTAAGAAAGGGATAATTTGAAGGCAAAACGCCAAATTCCCTTTGAAAATTAGAAGAGCAATATAACTTAACTACTGAATGGAGCAGAGTCCAACAGTGCATGGCAGCACAGTACTTATTTTACAATCTGAGACCCTTTTTAATGTAAACCCTGAAAAATCATAAGCAACTGTTAGAACAGACTTTCGTATCATGTACCATTAAGTTAGCATTGCATTCACTTTCATTATTCAAACTGTGCCATAAAGTGACTTTTCACATACAGTACTGATTTACCTTAAGCGTATCTGTTTTATGACACAGCAAACTGTAAAAAATGTCCTGGCAAATGATTTTGTGTATATAATTGTCAGCCATGCATCTGAAGTTGGGCATTAATGTTTATGCTGCCCTACTTCATGGTTCAGCATATGTTAAGTAAGCTGCTGATCACTGAGTGTGTCCATTTTGGTAGATGGACAGATGTATGTGAGCAGCACTGCTTTGGATAACTTGTGCTATTCCTAATACTACAGTTATTTTCTCTGCCAATTACATTTTACTATAAATATGTGTGCCCTTAAGTTGATCCCAATATCAGTTTCAGCTAACTAATCAAATTATCTGCTAAGGTTTTGGGAATGATAACCCTTCCTCTATTTAAATAAAGTGAGGGAAGGGTTTCTAACTCCCAAAGGTTTGCCAACAATAGATTTATTTTCAAGATAGGATGACACTGTTCAGTAAACTGTTTGTCATCTTTGTTGTTGACAGATAAGCACAATAGCATTTATGTTTTTTATCAGGTAGGCAGGACAGGGAAGAGAAAATACTGTGAGGTTTTCACCCTTAAAGTTTTTCCAAGTTCTGCTCATGGGCTCCTATGAATAATTATTCATTGAAATAAGCGTAAGTCAAATTTCAGATTACTTTATTTTGAGGGCTCAGCAGCTAAACTTCTATTTTCTATTTTCCTTTTGCAAAAGAGCGTTATTAAAACCCTGTCCACAAGTGACTACACAAAGAGCTTATGTAAGGAATAATTTCTCATTATATTTAGAAGTGCCTCATTTTTGTACCAGTTAAAAGTTAATTCATAGTCCAAATAATCAATCTGCAATGTAAACAAGTAGATATTTTCTCCCATGTAATCATGGTAAATAATGACACTGATCACTACATATTCTGCTCGAGTTCAATAAATTCAATTCCTCAGTCACAAAGGCAGCAGGCATTCTGTGATGGACTTCCTTTGAACTATGTTCACATCAGTGGAATAACTGAGATTCCTGATGGAGATCTAAGCCATTTTCCTCATTTTCTTAATAGCTTCCGCTATTTGCATACTCAACTCCATTTTATGATTTGCTATTTAAAATAAATGCATTTCCCCAAACCCTTCTTTTTTTCTAAAACAAATGTATTTACATTTATGGTAAATGCTTTTCAGCAAGTAAGTTGTAAAGAAGAAAAAAAAAAAGAAGTGGTATAAAGGGAGCAAGTATTTAAAGTTTGGTACTAATTTGTTTTCTGAACTTCCTTCCAAAGATGCTACAGGGACAAAAGCTTTACAGGTTTAAAACACACTTTCACACATTTTTGATTCTTTCTCTCTTTTATACAAGGGACCAACTTTGCCCAGTGAATCAACTTAGTAACTTTTGCCCAGTAACTAAATGAAACTGCATGTCATTCCCCCCAAGAAAGTAAATAAAATACAGCTTTTTACTTCAAATATTTTATGAATGCAAGATTACAAGAAATATATTAGTCAAAATGCAGGGCTATCAAGCACTGAACCAACAATGCTGGCATCAGTTTGCCTACCATTTTGCATGTGGAAAAAATACACTATGTCGACAGGTAAAAGGCATCACTAATGCATCATGAATTACTCTGGTCAGCCAACATCACCTCTGCAGCTTGATGCATGTTTAAATCCTGAAAATAACCATCATATTAATAGTTTTGAGATGAGACACTGGAACAAACCCATTCTTAAACAGGAAAGTTTTTGTTTTGCTCTTATCGAGGTAACACCAAAAACTAAAACCAAGATCTTTTAAATTTAGCAGCCACTTTAACGCTTGTTAGGCTAGCCTTCACACAAGGAGCATGCATACAGCCACTGTTCTTGCTTTAAATTGAGGGCTGTTGGTTAATTCAAGTCACTGTTTTCTCACCTTACTCGATTAACCTGCTGAATTGGATGTCCACCATAGGAAAAAGAAAATTAAATGATGTTAAGTGTCGCAGACAAATACAGATCACACCAAGAAGCTAACACTCATGAGTTGTCATAATAAGGGATAATAATAACAATTAAAAAAAAAAATAAAAATCAGTCTTTTCTGTGCATATTTTTCATTTGAAAGGTCCCAGGAAATCATGATGTGCCTGGCCGTTTCTGTTGCTGATTTCTGATGACCTCTAACTGTTTTTTGCATTGCTGATAGTACGTTGAGAGACTTTTGTTTTCATCTAACAGCTTTTTATGTTCTTGTACCAGACGGGACGTGTTTTGCTGGTCTTTTTCATCCTGGTCCAGTTCTGCTATTAGTTCTTGTCTAAAATTAAAAAAAAAAAAGTAATTGGCATTTATAATCTACTTTTATTTGTGTCTAGATGACTTCATATGTTTCAAATCAGTATTTGATTATCAGTCTGAACTCATGGTTGGTGATATTTTGTGGAAAAAACCCAAAAAGTTGACAAAAAAAAAATCTTATTATTTACTGTAGTCTGGGAAAAAATTTTCTTCCAAATCAAATCCACATTTAAACTTTGAAATAGCTGCAAGCCATAGCCTCAATCTCTGAAATTGTCCTTTGTATAACGTCTTTCAGATGTAGTTCTACAGGTCACAGTAAAACATCTAAGGATCCATACAGAATTTCATAAATACATTCAGCTCTAATTTTGCTTAACTATATGTACATTTAAAAACTCAGAAGGCAACTTAAAAGACAAAATTGCAATAATTTGGGTAACTTTTTAGTGGAGTGCTGTTTTCTATTTGGACTTGAACTTCTTAAAGCAGTGGAAAAGCAGAATCAAGCAAATTATTTTTGTATTTTTTGTATTTTTGTAACTGTCATTTCACCTAATTTATGCCATAAGCATTCAATGTGTTTTTTAGCAACAATTTTAGAGGAACAACCACACTGATAAACTTGCTATAAATTATCCTGCAAAACTGTTGTAGCAGTTTGTTTCACTATTTGTTTATGAAGTGACAAGAAGGCAAGCTGCCAGCAATATTTTAGCAACAAAATAGTAGAGGAGAAAGGTCATGTTAATTAATTGTTGCCATATGGTTTGTAATTACAGTTAAAGAAAACTTAATCATTCTATAAAGGCTGAACTCATAACTACCTTAACGAGCATTAAATTCATCAGTCACAATATTATTTTTTGTTTTAACACCTATGGGCAATTATGATCTGACTAAGAAAAAATGGTTTGGGAGAAATGTGTATGCAGACTTCCTAGAAAAAAAGATAAAGTAGGAATCTAAAGGTACAGAATTAACAGTTTTGAAACAGAAACACATTTTTATATAATTTATTGACCCTTAGGGACAACAGAAATAAACCCAAAATTAAGATCTTCACACTATCTTCAGTATCTCCTCAAGAAGTCTAAAAATTCTAGTTGTACTTGAAAAAAAACCACCTTGTTCTTAGGATGCTAAGCTAAAAGTGAATAGATGATAGGAGGTCAATCTTACACTAGGTGTTGGTTTTTTTTTTCCCCATTCTGTATGCTATTTCTAATATAGAAGAGGTTTATACACACATTTTTCTCGCAAGCTATTCCACAAACACCAAGGCAAGCAAGCTCCTCATTAACAACCGCTTGCCTGCAGTGGCTCAGACACTGGTGGATAACAAGCTGGTTACTTGGTCTAGCATGGGAGTATATATGACCTCTCAGACTGCTCCCCAGCATCAGGAAACAGAAATGATACGAAGCAGAACACAACACAACATATTGCAAACTGAAGTTCTGAACTGGCAATAACTTTGGCCCTAATCCAACAATACATGCAGTTGCTTCACTTGTATGTGTACACCATGTAAGAGGAAAGAGCTTATTTCTAGTGCACAAGGATAAGAAGGTACATAATGGCTTTTAAGTATTAGGTCCTAAACCCCTGGTAGAAAAACACAAGGTGATAATACTGTTGCAAATGCTGTGATTGACAAAAGTCAGAAATAAGTAAAAACTAACTGCAAAATGAGTAACACTGACATACTAGTCAAAGTTCTATAAGCCATTATCCAAGTGATTATCTACAAGTTACAATTGAAAATCTTTTACTGGACAGCATTGGAAATAAAATTCCAAGGTTCCTCAACAGTCCAGGTCTTTCATTTGAGATGATACACACAAACATTACTAGTATGTTACATACACAGATGTGCCACACACTTTAAAGTAGGACTTGTCCAGAAGAAGAGTCTTGATACTGATTAAAACTTTCAATCACCTGCTCTAAGTATCTCACCTGTACTGAGCAGCTCAGTATTTCTGAGATTAAGGCTGGAAAATAATTATGCCCTATGAAATATTACATCATAAAGCCAGAAATAATAGTCCCAGACAACAGACTTAGTGTAAAAGAAATATACAGAAGAACAGAAAAGGTTAAACACATTTCACTTACTTCCTCTGCAACAGCAATGCAATTTCTGTCTGAACTTTCATATATTCTTGTGCCATTTTGCAGTGCTGTTCAAACACAGCCATAGATTCTTTGGAGTTTGGGCATGGTGCTAGAGGCTGAAAATAAATCAGACATGTTAAAAACTAATGAACTGATATCTTAGTATATAGTGTGTTAGAATGTCTCTGCAGTGTATTTATAACATCCTTTAAAAACCAGTAAGCTTTTAAAAATAAGTGTTAAACCATGCCCTGGAAAATGTTACTGCACTGATGTCAAAGTCGACTCAAACCTCAAATCTGCAGTTATTAATCTGATAGTCCCTCCATCACAAAAATCAAAGTAGTGTTTAACTCCACACACAGCAAATAAAGTGTATACAACAACTTAATTCAGTAACACTCAAGCAAATAATGTCTTATTCTGATAGTTAAACTCAGCTTACATTTGGTTTTAGGGATCATGTTTCCCAGGGCTTGTTTTTAATAGCTTGATCAAATCTGAGTCAACCAATCTCAGATTACATAATATATTTTTTTAGCCTTGGTCAAAAGTTAGACAGAATATAAACACAGGTAAATATGCAGCACTATATTTTGCAGCCCAAAATTCACACGTTAGAATGAAATGCAAGATAAAGAATCTAATAAAGCATTTATTTATTACCTGTAACTGATGATCTAATGTAAGGTATGCCATTGGGATAGAGTTATCTGACCCATTGGTCTCTGTAACAATACCAAGAAAAATCATAATGTACTTTCAGAGTTAATTTTATTCTTATAGGACAAAAACAAGAATTCTAAATCATATCACAATGTGAAAGGCAAACGGAAATAGCAGCGTTCCACTCCCAAGGCAGATGAATCATTTTGTTTTTCTGATAAAGTTAAGAACTTCAAAAGTATGGTCTATCACACCAAGAAGAAATAAAGATTAAGGTTATCATCCTACACTTCTAGAAGCCATGTAACAGCATACAGATTTAAAAAATACTATTTTTGCACAGTTTGCAATCATCTATTTATTAAAAAAATTGCCATTTCATTCTTGTTTATGAAGGATCAGCCAGCCAGCCCATGCATCTAATGATTTTAAAATTAGAAGCTGTGCAAACCAGCTCTGCCAAAATAAAATAAGCACAACCTCCTGCTCAGTTTTGAAACCTGCTCCCAGTGAGGTCTGTAAGTATCTTCCTCACAACATGCTTTAGGGCATCTTCTTCGCTCTGCAGAGATACTTTGTGGGTAGCAAGGAACCCAATCACCCATCTATCTCCTGGGCCTGGCTGCCCTCTTTTTACACTGCAGTTACTATGGATTTCTCTAGTGTTTTCATTCCAGATTTAGCATGTTTCTGAATTCTTATAGATCCTATCTTTCGGTAGCCCACAATCTGGGGATCACAAGGTTACTGTTAAGCTTTAAGAGACATAGGAGTAAAGACACATGGAGAAACTACTGATTTTATAGCTGCATTATTGCTACTAGAGGATTATATGGAAGAGGGTAGGTGGGGAAAAAAAAGGGGCTGCTTACCCATACCCCAAAAGCACCTGCCACAGAGTAGTCGTGGTAGAGAAACTAAGGTGTTGCCCTCAAAGACTATGCTATCTCCAAGAGCAGCTTCAAAAGGAAACAGAAATAAGAGGGTGGGAATGGAGAAAAAGTGGTTAAGTGTATGCTTGTAAGGAAACTGGAAGGTGGTAAGAAAAAAAAAAAAAAAAAAGAAAAAAACCCTAAAACCAGAGAATTAATAACCACAGTATCTTAAAT